AAAAAAAAAAAAAAAAAAAAAAAGCCAGAACATTCTGAATAGGAAAAAAAATATATGTATGGGACATACTCCTGCATCAAAAACAATTCAAAGAATGGAAGTTCTCCCCCCAATCAAACAAAAAAAAAAAAAAGAAAGGAGGGAAGTGGCAAGATGTCTTTTGCATGGTTGAACAGAGTCATGTCAATACTCTGTTATTTGTTATTTTTTCTGACGACGAAAGCAGAGCGAGCACCCTCATATCACAACGAGTGCAGAAGACGTATCCATACGGGAAACTGGAGACCGATCCTGTGCGATGGTGATGAAGAGCGGTAGTGAACACACACAGGGCGGCAGGCAATACCGTGGACGAGATCGTTGCCACGTAGAAAGCTGGCCGCAGGCCCACAGCACCACCTTCGGCAGGCAGGATGTGTGTGTCAGTCTGTCACACGCAGCCTTCGCAGCATTTCTTGTGCCTCTTCTGGAAGACAGCAACCATTTACATCAATCTCAATCAGGTACTCTGTCATCGCCAAAGCTCGACTCCCACCCGACCCCTTTCCTTCCTTCCTCCCCTTTCCTTGCTGCTGCTGAATTGTCACTGAATTGGACTTGTCAGTGCCCGGCGATGCCGCTGCCAAAGTGTGTCTCTTCGCCCTGCATGTGTCTACGATACGCCAGACGGGAATGCTCAGAGCCCTCAGCTGTCGACAGTTGTTGAGGAGCAGTCGTGTAAGCAGTCCTGACTCAAGAGATACCTCCTCGAGTTTATTGCTTCCGCGCGCGTCAAACTCTGTCAGGACCTTCGATTCCGCGCTTAGTCGTACAAGTTCGTCGCACCCCTTGACCTCCAATCTCGACAACGCCCGGTGCGGAAGATTCAGCCAGTCGATGCCATGGCAACCCGACAACGTGAGCTCCGAGAGAGTCGAGGTGGAGTCTTGGATAACCGTTTCGACAGCTGCGCGGGTGAGAGTGCGACACATGAAAGCATTCACCTTTCGCAAGGCAGGGCATTGAAAATCCCTTATGTTGCGCAAAGCGGTGCACGAAGCAATGTACAGCTGCGAGAGCAGCGGCGCCTGCACTTGCAGACTACTTAGTTCAGGGCAATTGGTCACACTTAGGCACTCGAGAACTCGGCCACTGTAGCAGACCTCTCGTAAGTGCGGATTGTTGTCCAAGTATAGCTCCTTCAAATTGGGAGAAAGGAGCGACGCGGGCACCGATGTCAGATGCGGTAACCGCATCGCGCGCAGTCGCTGAAGAGCGACTTTGCCTGACATCTGCAGAGCGGTGCGCGTCAACGAAAGGCACTCCGACACGTCAAGCGAGGTCAAGGAGTCCTTGCACACCCCTTGCGTGAGGAGCATCTGCAAGCCCCTACCGCTGATACCCTGACAACCCTTCAAGCAAAGCGACTTCAGCCCCTCCACTGCAATCCCCCCGTCGTTATCTTCGTCCGATGCCGACAAGCCTCCCTCCATCATTCTCCCGATCCCTCTTTCCACAATTTCAGTCATGCGAGCCCTCGGGGAGGAGGACACAGGGGACATGGGATCCACACCGCCAGCATGCCTTGCCCTCGGTTCCTCGTCATTACTGCTTGGTAAGCTGCCTCCTCCATCCCTGTCACTGTCGCCGCGTTCTCCTTCTTCAACCCTTGTAGACGGCACCGCGACACCAGGTGACGATGCAAAGCGGAACACAACCCTCCCTGCTTCCTCTTGATCAGGATGTCCTCCATCCGTCGACGGGCTCCCTGGGAGTATGGCCGCTTCACTTCTGCTTGGGCTTGCGTACTCTCCTCCTCCCCTTCTGCTCCCCGGAGACCTTTCGCCTCCCGCTCCTGCCGAAGGAAAACGGCTTAGGTGCTTCAGCGAGAAATCCGATATCCCATTACAGTGGCTCAAGTCTACGCTCTGCAACCCTGTATGCAGGCGGCAGAGGGTACCTATGTCGTCATCTGTCAGATGCTGACAGCTTCGCAGGTCGATTGATCCTAACGACCTCTTGCAAGCCGTCACAAACCAGCTGTCATCCACACGGCGCAACTGCGCTTCGCATTTCGGACTAAAAAGAGGGATCCCTGCGGCGGCGACGAAGATGCGTCGGAATCCCTGAAGGTCGGGACCCCATCGCTTGAGGCTAAGGGACCGCAGGTTCGGAAAAGCTGCGACCATTTCTGCAACCGCCGACACACGCACCATCCTGGGAGGCGTCAAAAAGGTGACCCTGGCCCTAAATTCTCTTGCATATGCAGCGAAGTCCTTGGATACCAGCGATACACGCGCGATTTCTCGCGATGCAAGGTGACCGAAAATCATCAGCCGGCATTCAGTAGGAAGTTTATACCACCCACAGTCCCCGCATTCCTCGCTCTTAAACTTGTTCTGCTCAACGACATCATGGCCATCATGGCTTGCCCTCCTCTCTGGCACCTTTTCCTGCTTGCTACGTGCGGACACTAAGTTGCTATTCCCATCACCTGACCAGACTTCACCCTCTGGCACAGAAGGCGCAGAAGTCCTGCTGCCGCCAACTGCAGACGCATCTGCTTGCGCATTCACAACTTCTTCGCTTGGCCCGCTGTACTGTGAAAGGTCCAGAAGAACGCCGATAGCTGCCTCCACGTCCTGTCCGACCTGAGCATATGCCATGTCGATGACATCAGCACTCACGCGCTCAACAAACATTTCGTGCAACACCATAGGGGCACCACCCACGGTTTCATGTCTGTCAGTCCCGAGCAGAGAAACCTGTGCCTTCGGGTTTCCTCTTCCGCGCATTCTCCCTCCCCTCTTGCTCCCCGATTTCCCACGCCTCGAGTTCTCCGCCCAAACGCGGTCGAATTCCCGTTCGAGCGGGGGATATGACCCAACCTCTCCTCTCCTCTCCAGAGAGATCTCCCTCCTCGAGCTACTCAGATCCTGTGCCCCATCTGCCACCCCACCAGGGCTCCCTCCATTCTTCACAGCGTCAGCCCAGCCACGAGGGACATATTCCGCACTCCCAGTAGTGCCCTCAACAGTATCAATCCCTGGGGAAGGTGATCCTTGCCCAGTAACCTCTGCACTTGGGTCAAGCTGAGATACTGTGTCTAACCGGCGGGCACTCTGGGAAGCCTCCCTGCTACTTACCGAGCCAACGGGACTTCCACCATCCGACGGTGGACACAGGCCATCACCAGATTCCATTGCCCGCTGCATGCTTACCTGCCAGCCTCGACCCTCCTCTCGACTACCTCACCTGCTCACCCTCCCAGGGTCAAAGAGAGAGAGAGAGAGAGTGTGTGTGTGTGTGTGTGTGTCCTGATACCCATTCCTGAGACCTCAGCTCTGCTTTCAAGCTCTGCTTTCAAGCTCTGCTTTCAAGCTCTGCTTTCAAGCCCTGCTTTCGAGCTCTGCTTGCTTCCAAGCTCGGCTTTTTCAAGCTCGGCTTTTTCAAGCTCGGCTTTCGAGCCTGGCTTTCGAGCTCGTCTTTTGAGCTCAGCTTTGAGCTCAGCTTTCGAGGTCGGCTTTCGAGATCAGCTTTTGAGCTCAGCATTCAAGCTCGGCTTTCACGCTCTTCTTTGGAGCTGAAGACAAACAGCAAAGCGACAAACGCACCGAGAGTCGGGCATATGCATGAGGTAATCCTGAGCTGAGTAGAGTGGGTCCAGGAGGATTACTCACAGCTGTGCTGCCAAGTGACCCTATGCTTGTGTGCTTCATTCATAAAGCCCAAAGGGTGCCTGCCGACTCACGGATTCATCCCCAACACAACGGCATCATCTTTTCTTCTACGACGCGGAAATCCAAGCAACCTGCCTCCGCTCTTCTCCAAACCTTATCATGATCTCCCCACGTTGTACAACAAGCAGCTTGGTCCATCAATTACACCATGCCCGTGGTGTCACCACTTTGTACCACAAGCGGCTTGGCCCATCAATTGAACCATGATGAGCGGCTTGGTTCCAGTCACCACTTTGTACCACGAGCGGCTTGGTCCATCAATGGAACACCATGACCGGCTTGGTCCATCGTTGAAACCATTTGCACCGACCACAAGCATCCATGAAAGCACAAGCTTGGCATGCTAGCTCCCAAGTGCGAAGTCATCCATCCCACACACTTTCTTTTCTTTTTATTAAAAAAAATGGTCCAATGATGGACCACGGATCAGATATTAAACCGACCAGAACAGATGCTACACTTGATCTTATCCAAGAGGCCGCGAAAAGCATATCCCACACGCATTCCACCTACTCATCGGCACTCATTTCTCCACTGTGCCTTCTACGCTGTGACAAACTGCTCCCCATCTGACCTGTAAGCTCCTCTCTCACACTCGTGGCTACTTTACCTCCTTCCACACAAGAGAACTGCTCCCTATCTTCTCACCTCCACGCTCCTCTCTCACATTCATGGCTGCTTTGCCTCCTTCCACCCAGGAGCCACACATTTCTTGTTCCTCGCATCCGTTCCTAACTCCCCAGCTGATCGCCGCATCAACAGCTCAGCCGGAAGAAGCATACCGATCGAGCATGTTAACGCTCCAGCTGAGCTCGGCTTTCGGATATTGACACTACCAAGCAGACAGATGAACCATCCTTTGGTATATACTCCGTCTATTATTCCAAATTTGAACCATCTTTCCGTACATACTCCATCGTTTTTTCTATTTAAAATTGTACTATTTCACTCATCGGCCCCATGTGGGAATCGAGCTCGGATGTACCAACTGGACTAGGCCCATGGGTTGTACATACTCCCATCTATTATTACAAAAAAACTTTTTTTTTTTTTTTTAATACTGTGTGAATCACATCATCACTTGAAAAGCTGTTCAAGGGCGCTCAAGCTCCAACTACGGAGGAGGAAGGAGGAGGG